AACCCCACTAAAAACTTGGGTTGATCTCAGGTGCTCCGGAATGGTAAACAGATCCTGCTCCACATGTGGCACCCGTCGTATTGCTCATGTTATTACAAATCCGGATAAAAGACTCATTCGGTAGGTCACATCCGTGGTGAAAAAGGAAGTGGATTGTAATTACGACATAAGGAACATATCCAATATCATCTGTGAAACGGTTATTCCATAACGGTCAACCAACTCGTGATGGCGTCCGTAAAATTTATGAAGGGATGATTTCAACTTAACCATTTGGAACTCTTAGTTTAATAGCTTCCTTGTGAGCAGCAACCCTTTATCAAGGAAATCATGATAGAAAATACAAGCCCGGGAATAACGTATCAATTGGGATATATATACTCCGTATGCAGGCGCTGCTTGAATGTTGCTACATTGCAATGGAAAATTCACAACTGGGAAGCTGAAATCATCTCTTTTGTCTTACAGTTTTGTTTTCAACCGACCCTCATTGTCAATATCTAGATGTAAGTCAAGATATGAGGCAGACTTAACTGTATCTGTTGTATCCTTTATCTCCAGTTCGATGGGATAGATGCATTTAACATTGTCACCAAATTTTGAATTATTTAGTGAGATAACATCATCTATATAGCGGAAAGTAAAGTTAAAGGATATTGCTAACTTCTTATCTATCCTCCTAAGAAGTTACTGTATGAAGTCAGCCTCATAATAATAAAGCAACAAGTCGGCAAGAAGAGGGACACAATTGGTTCCCATTGGAATGCCGACAGTCTGTTGAAAAAAAACGTCCTCCAAACGTAACAAATATGTTGTCAATCAAGAAATCAAGCATCTTGATAATGTCAGTTTTAGAGAATTTTTTGTTTGAGTCAGAGTGATTCTTTACAAAGTAGAATTTATCCCTCCCAAAGACAAGGTACTTGTATCTACGTTCGCAATTCTTTTTTATGAAAGAAAGCAATACCAACTCTTCCAACTTGTCTTTTAATTTGGAATGGGGAATACTTGTGTAAAGTGTAGAAAAGTCAAGTGTTTTAATACTATTGCAAGATGAGAGAGTCTTAGATTGTATGTACTCTAACAGATCTTTAAAATCTTTTAGCATCCACATCTGATTCACGCCACCTCTCGAATAGGCAGTTTCAAACTCACTTTGAAGCCTGGCTTTGATTGCTGATAAAATGGATGTTAATAATTTAGAAAGAGGTTTCATGGAGCATTTAGAAGACCCAGCAATATACCGTTGTCTGTAAGGACACTTATTAGTTTAGGTATCCAATACAGTGATAGAAGATCCAGCTCTTCATCTTTCGTTGAATCATAGAACAAACCTATGATTATCCAGGATTTCCTCTTTGGTAAGTGTCGTAAGGGTATATGTTGAGTTTTCATCTGAATTGTCAATGCCTAATTCATTTATCAAGCAGTTAATGTAATGAGATTTACACACAAAAACGATGTTGTTTGGGGCTTTATCTGCGGGGACAACAACATGTTTGTCATGGAGGTAGGAAAAGTGTTTTGCAACATTTAGGTCTTTAAAGATTGACGTAGCATGGGTATTGATAGACCCATTTAGTTTCTCATTTCTGATTAGTATCAACGACCTCACAGCCTTAATCCATTCGGAAAGAGTATCTACGTCTTCTTTCTGGCGTTTAGCCCATTGCCTGGCATAATCCTCGACTGAATCCTTCCTTATTTTAAAGTTGTATTTCCAATTGATGGACTTAGGCTCACGATATTTCGAGCATTCAGCCGGATTATATGTGAATTGGAAACTAGCACAGGTCCAATCAGGAGGTTTAGACTTGAAGTCGATAATATTGAGATCTGGCAAAACGTGTTCGTAATTGAAAATTTTAGTTGCAATGGGTTTGGTATAGGTATAAGAAATGTGTAAGGTCATAATTTTCCCTGCATAAAATGCAAACTATCATTTACTTAAATATTTAATTCGTTTGATAGTAATCGTGTGTTGTTGCCAATTGGGGTTTAATTTCTAATGTAATCATTGACAGGTTTAAGACAGAAACAATACTTTCCTCTATAAGACTGAATAACCAAAAATTGTCGTTGACGCACATTTTAATTTTCAAAACAAACAATTTGATGTTTTGGTTATTTATCGTTACAATAAAGGGACATTTTGCGAGATGAATTTGATAAAGCAAAATAATTTCACAACACATTAAAAACAAGCAAGATTGAACACATTCGTGTGTAGGATGATTCACACTGTATCTGGAATTATCGTTTTTCCTGCTCTCTTCGTACCAGTTCTTAACCTTTTATATAAAAATATACCTTTTATTATATCAAATATTCTTATTTTCTACAGAGTAACTCCAAGTAGACGTATGATGGGATGGGGGAGTATTATATCTAATCCTGATTCTCAGTTTAAAAAACTGGTATTGCAATTCAAAAGTAACAATGCATTTGTGTCTTGCTTCAAGATTCATGCAGTTATAGAAGTATTTTTATTGTACCTGAAGAATGATTCCTAATGTGTATATCTTGATTAATTAGTGAGTTTGATTTCACATTTTAAATAAGCCGTCAGGCGTATTAAAATTCTGAACGAATCAGTAAAAAAATATCCCACTTTACTGTGGTAGGTAAAATTGGATGCAAATGCTGCAAAGAATTATAATGCGTTGTCGGTATATAAGTCAGATAATTATGATTTTAAGGTTTTTCTTGTATAACACAACTCCTGATGTCAGGATTGCCAAAAGAAAGACCTCCCTACGGTCAATCATGACACCCTGGATGTGTTATACGAAAAGAAAAACCTTTAGTATGCATTGTCTATAACAGAATCACCTTGCATCTGTCCCTATTGGTTGACGATTTCTGCACAAGACATGTCATGGTTAAATGGCACAGCATAAGAAAAAAACTGGTTCTTTTAATTATTCTACGAGAGGACAATGATTCATTAGCAGCAATGTTTTAAGATTGAGTTAAGGATGTCCGCTACTCTGTTTCAAAATAACAAGCTTTTTAAACGACTGTTATAATTTGATAGTATATTAATAAATAAAATAAAAAAGCAGAAAAAAATGAATGGTCCGCGCACTTGTTTTCGAGATATAAGCCATTGAAAACTAGGCGGGAAATAATTCTCTCTAGATTTCTCACACATTTAACATCCGCAACTTTTTTCTTTCAAAAACGATGAAAAAATAACAAGGATTTTATAAGATTTTCAAATACAGCTTTTCAAACTATATGCAATAAAATTATGAAAAGAAAAGTAGGGGTTAGCGGAGAAAATTTTTACTGACATTACATGGATAAAACCAGAGGATTCCGAATATCTGACAAAAAGTAAAAAAAAAAACAAAAAAAAAACAGAATGAGCGAACATCCTTTTTCGAAAGATAATCTATGTGCATACGTTTGATAGTAAAACTTAGCTATTCAAGTACAACACAACATCAGTCTGTACCTATCATTCCGTAAACCTATACCAAACGAATTGCATCTAAAATTTTCAATTACGGACACGTGTTGCAGGATCTTAATATTGACGACTTCAATAACTTCTAAACCTTCTGATTGCACCTGTACTAGTTCCCCATTCATATATAATTTGCTTGGCTACGTTTTTACTGGTTACCTCAACATTGTCAATAACACCTCTCTGGGAAATGTGCAAAATATCGTGAACCCAAATCCATCAACTGGAAACAAACTAAAAAAATCAAAATACTGATGAATTTAGTCGAGGATTATGTCAGGCAATATGTTAGACGGGAGAAAGGAGACGTAGATACTCTTTCCGAATGGAGTTAGGTTGTGAGGTCGTTGATACAAATCAGAATTAAGAAACTGAATGGGTCTATTAATACCCATGCTATATCAATATTGAAACACCCAAATGTTGCAAAACACTTATTCTACCTCCATGACAAATAGTTTGTTTTCCCTGCAGATAAAGCTCAAATCAACGTTTTTATGTGTAAATCACATTACACATGTTACATAAACTGCTTCATAAATGAATTAGGTATTGGCAATTCACTTGGAAACTCAACATACACCCCAACGATACTTACTAAAGAGAAAATCCTGGATAATCATAGGTCTGTTCCATGTTTCAACCAAAGATTAAGAACTGGATCTTCCATCACAGTATTGGTTGCATTAACCACATAAGTGTCCTGACAAACGTATTGCTATGTCTTCCAAGTGCCCCCTGTAACCTCTTTCTAAATTATTAACATAAATGTTATCAGCAATCAAAGAAGGGCTTCAAAGTTATTGTGAAACTACCTACCTAAATAGTATTCTAGAGTTGGCTTGAATCAGATGTGGATATTCAAAAATTCCAAAGATCTTTTAGAGTACATACAATCTACGACTCTTTCATCCTGCAATAGTATTGAAAATTTGACTTTTCTACACATTACATAAGTATTCCCCATTCCAAACTAAACTAAAAGACAAATTGAAAGAGTTTCCAAAAATGTACATGTGTTCATCAAAACTGGACGTCAAACTAAACATATAAATAAACCAAAATTAAAAACAAAACATATTAGACTAACAAAGACCAGAGGTTCCTGACTAGGGACAGGCGCAAAAATGCGGCGAGGTTAAACATGCTTTATGAAATCTCAACATTTCCCCCATACTTCTAGTCTATGTGGAATAAAAACACACGCTTTAAGCACAGGAACATTTAGATTTATACATTGAAAGAAGGATGCGAACTAATTTGGCACGGATTGTCCAGTGAAAAACTTAACACGCATATGTATTACACATTCACGAAAAAAAAGTGAAAAATCAAATTAAAAAAACACCCCAATAATGCCACAGTTGCACGGTAAGAATATGTAAAACGATATTCTTTAAGATTATGTAAGAATACGTAAAACGATATTTCTAAAGATTATGTATTTAATACCCACCTTGAACATGATAGATGAATGTGTATTATCACATTACCTGCAAATTGATATTTGGGGATTTTATATACGTCATGTTGACATGATAATCGATTTGTCTCTTATGAAATGAGAAAATGTGTATTTTAACAATTATGTATTTCAACAGGTAAGGAAGTTATTTTGGAAAATGCAAAAAAGTTCATGACTTTACGTAAATGTTTCCATTCATATGTTTTCGTGGACCATTGCCGAAGATAGAACAGAATATTCTCTATTGTAAATATTTACTTGTTGACCGCCTCCAAGATATAAAACATGCAAGTTATAATTGTTTATATATCTCATTTCTTTTCGAAAGCATTTCACACATAATTTCATATCAAATATATTTTTTTAGATAATAAGAAATAAATTCCATAAATTTTCCTTTTAATTATGTTTTGTTTATTTAAACAGAAAAAAGAAAGTATGCGTTTTTGCAAAGGTCATTAATGCATGCCATCGATTTAAGTAATTTGTTGATTTAGTGATCTTGCATCTTACAGGTATTTTTAAAACACCTATGTTACATTCACAAACACAAAGTTGCGAAGTAAGTTTAAAACGTAAGCACGGCATTGTATCTGTATTGTCATGATTAGAAGGTCTTCTTATAGCACATTTCAATGCCGTTACTATTATTTTCAAAATGAGCCTCTCTGCTTCCCGACTAATTCTATTGCATTTAAGTTTATACAAAGAGGTTGACTATAAAAATAGAAGAAGCTAGCATTTTCCTTTAACTTCAAGTTTTAATCGATAGACGAAAACAACTTTCTCTAACTGGAAGCTCACTACTAACATTTACGATAAAAGAGATGATTTTTATTTCAGTTTGTTAGTTATTCGTCTTAATATAATGACATTCCTTTGACCCATCTGAACTATCTGAACTTGTTCGAATCGCTCGTGTAGGTAGTTTGCATCCCATCTTTTATGGTAATATTCTATATAAAGTAAAAAAATATAATCATTGACCTCAGCGCTTACCAACACTTTAAACATATTTATTCACAAGGAATATAGTTTCGACACTGTTGTCAAGTCATAAAATATGGCAATGTTTGGAATTAATATTGATTCACTCATAGGGTCTTTGCATCGGAAATAAAAACATTTATTCTAAAACAATTTGTTGGCATGATACGGGTTATATTCTTGTATAATCGTGAGGCATGAAAGTAAACAACTAACGGGAGGGATTGTGGTTTCATATGATGTGTACATACTTTGTTGATCAAATTATTTGAAGTTTGGAGCTGGAATATCAGTAACTGCCTGTAGTTCTTTGTTAATATATGTTGATCATTGTCATTTATCTTAGAGCCGCCTGTTACCTAATTTAAGATCAGACTCGGACTTCTTTAAAACTGAATTTTACTGTGCATATTGCTGTTTGTTCATTTATGCCACATTGGTTAAAGGTTATAGGGATAGTGTTGAGATTTCACAAAAACATGTTTAACTCTCTGCATATTCGAGTCTGCCTAAAGTCAGGAAACTTTAGCTTTTATTAGTCCATTTTTCTTTTAAATTTTGATTCAACTGTTTGTGTCGGCGTCAATTTCGCTGAACTAGTAAATATTATTGTCTTGAAGCCAGTTGCAGCCCGCCGCATTAGTCAACTTCACAAATTGGATATCAAATAGCACCAATAAACAATGACAAAACACCGGGAATGTACATTATATAAAATAACATGATAACTAAAAGGAATATTGGTATACAGTTACTAAAATTCATAGTTAGTTTTAATTCAGAGTTCCCATATGTTTACTGTTATTTTCTGCTTTGATTCAGAGTGCCCACAATTTTATTCGGTTTTTTTTCCTGCTTTAAATCACAGTGCACGCATGTCCTCTATTTATTAAAAATATTGAACCGTCATCATATCATGCATATCTCAGACTAGTTTGTAAAACAAAAATTTTTGACCGCATCAACTTAAACTGATTGTACTTTATTAAGAAATTATATAGCCGTATCATCAATCAGTAAATCTGTTAGCTCAAGAATATGGCAGTATCTTCTGGGAATACTATACTGACGGACTATCAGTATATTATGTCGGACATCCCAGGTCTAATAAATCGGGGACGATGACACTGTCAAAATTGATAAATAATGCAACACCTTATATATCCGGGTACAGCACACCTTTCGTTCGAACATTCCGTTGAAGATATTTTCGTAAAGGCAATCATAATGATTAACGATGAAAACTCCACGTAATGCACAAAATGAGACTTCAACAATTTTGTTAATTTCCCATCTTATACAAATTGATTTCCAATTTGTTTGATAACCTGTTTGTGTGTCCTTCATATTAAAGAAATGTCATTTCTTTAATGATACCTGCATGTAAATATGTTGATCAACGAGTGCTAAATTTTATATCTAGTAATTATGGTACTCCGGTCACTTAAGGACATTGTTTATTTTATTTTCCTGTAGACTTAGCTTTGTTTTCTAATAACCGTGTATTGTCAAGCTTGGTTACTCATAATTGTTTCTCGGTCACTGCATGTACGAAGTTGTTACAAACTGAAGCAGCTGACCCCATTTGTTTACCTTCAAATTCTAATGGCGCCAAAACCACGTGAAACATTTGATCGTCCAGACCAATCAAATTGTTCTATTGTCAATTAAGTTATTTTTTAGTCTAAGGCAATTATATTATTTGTTTGTATGATATTGCTTTGAAATTGTTTGCAATGAATTGTGGGTTTATTTAATAGGAAACCTCATTATTTATGACATCAATGGAATTTTTTAAAGAATGTTTACTTACGGTCTTATCTCTTTATATTGAACCAAAAGCTATCACATAGTGCCCACTTTGTGAAGATCAAACTCACACTATTACATGTCTATTCTGGCATAAACTATCTACATATACATCATTCACCAAATATTTCCCCAATATTTAGTTCTCATTGTTGCAATTCTGGTATACAGAAATCAACAACTTCCAAAAATTCTTACTCTAATTTATTTTTGTTGTCTTCCTGATCCTGTCTACCTGGTCCTTTACTTAATCTATCTTACATGTATTTTTTTTTCTGATGTCATGAATAGCAAACTTTCTTAGACTTACCATTGGTACTTCTTCTTTAAGCTTCTGCGTCTTCTTAATAATAAATGTTAATAAAACAATACTCATAAAAAAAAGAACTTGGTGCAGAAATATCAAATACCGTTACCCATAACATCAACAGTAGGTACTTGATAGGGAAAGAATTTAATTAGAATATGTAACAGGATCAGATCTGTTGTGAATTCAAAAGAAAGGTGCATTAAAGAGCTGATGATAAGGGATATGTAAGTATGATAAAAACACACACTTAACTTGCTTTCTTAGTTTAAAGAAATAAATGATTTGAATTGAGAGCAAAAAATAGACAATACATGCATGTACTATTTATTTAGAAGTATATAGGTATACAAAAATTTTAAATGTTTCAAAACAAATATATAAAATTCTGAATATGAATAAAAGTATTCTATCAACAAATTAAGATAGTAAAATCTATCAAATTTAACAAATTTCGTGACTTTCTGCCATTATATGAACTATTTATTCAAAAATGAAATTTAGGTTAAACAAGGGAGATAACACCATAAAGATCAACATACTTATTCATTTCTATTACAGCCCTTGGATGGTGTAAACTTCCCCCAAAAAAACGTGAATGGTGTAATGGTGTATGGCATATGGTGCAATGGTAGAAGGTGTGTGGTGCTATGGTGTATGGTGGATGGAGAATGGTGTAATGGTGTAACGTGCGATCGGGAATGGTGTGAATGAATCGTGTACGGCATTTAAAACTATGCAAAATATTGATAAGAACTGATTTTTAATTTTATACATTAATTTACAATATTGTGAAATAAAAAAATAATTTTGTAGTCGCAAGCTTTCTTTGAAATTAAATTGCATTATGGTGTTATGTGTAAGGTGTATGGTGCAAAGGTGTGACGTGTATGGTGTAATGGCACAGGGTGTATGGTGTAATGGTGTATGGTGTACTGGTATGGTGTTAGTGGGAAGTTTACAACATCCAAGGACTTTACCTTGATATCACTCTAATGGGGTCAACTCAAATTGTTTTTTTTTAAATCAAATTCAAATAAACAAAAAGAGACAGGATGTGTATAAAACAGTGTTTTTTTTACAATTATATATACTAAAAAACATTAAACTGTTTTATCTAACCTACTCCATACTTCCTGAACAAAAATATGCCATGTACATGTGCACTGTCAAATTGTGTTCATAGTGTGTTTCCGAAAGATTTTCTTTCATTTTGGATGTTTTTTCGCGGGAAAATGGCTAAAAGACGTAAGGTGCTTGTCATTTTGAAGTTCTTAAAAATACGATTTGCTTGGCCTGTTTGGTCTGCCATTAAGTATGATGACGCGTAATGGAATGTAAACAAAGCAATAGAGGCCGGAAGAGGAGTTTTTCTGAAGTTCTGAAATGTTTTAAGGGATTCGAAAGTCAGGTTTGAAATGGCAATAAGAAAATCTGCATTTTTGTATAATACTTGCGAATAATAATGAAAACATATCTTTAGAAATATCATTTTATTTAAAAGTGTAGAAAAAATGTATTCTGCACTAATTTTATACGCTGGTATTAGCGTAGTGACGTCAATGCGGAGTTTCCACGTGTGATAAGTACAAAAACAAAGTCCGAACGAACCGACATTATGACCGATTATAGACAACGGCGGGATAGCGATTATTTTATTTAAACAAAAATATTAAATGAAAAAAAATTTTTTTTCATCTGTATACATACTGTCACTAAAGAGTATTGTATTTGTTCTACTTGAAAATAGAACAATACGATTGTCGATTCTTTAGTCAAGGGTCAGGTCCGATATGTAAAGTAGAGCTTCGGCAATCAGTCAAAACCAGACCTGTCCTTAGGTCTGGTCAGGAGCTTACCTTTTGTCAGAATTGGCCAAAATCATATATGTCTCCAGGTTTGGTCTGGAGCAGACCTGCGCTCATGATTGTTCAAAAACAGACTGTCCACATGTCGGGTCAAAAGCAGACCTGTCCACATATTTAGTATGGAGCATACTTGTAAATAAGTCTGCAGCAGTCCTAAAAATCAGACCTGATACCGGACTGCGTCTTCAGTCAACACACTTGTATCAGGTCAACAAAAATAAATGTATTTACTGATAGAAAAAGGCTTAAATTATATAATCATTGTCATTACTCTGAATCACTTAGGTTTTTATATTGAGTCAATTGTATATTTGTGTTAATACTTTGGATTACTTGTGATACAGTCCCATCTCTACAGCAAGTTAACTTGATAACTAGTCATTTTGACTAGTCTAAGTTATCTGCGACAGGTTTCAGGATTGCTCCGACCGGTCCTAGTATCAACATCAAGTTAACTTGAAAAGCAGATTTTAACATTTCAATTGAAACATATCTGATCTAAAGTTAACTTTTGGCTGGTTTGCTGAACACTTACCTCACTTGTGACTAGGACCGCTGTACATCGATTAAAACAATATTTCTTTTTTCTTGATAAACACAATACATACTTAAATAAAATAATGCATACAACTTTGTTGGAATAAAATTATCTCCGTGACCAGTCTTTTAACAAATCGAAAAACCGTTCGTTACACAGTAAACGTACTTTGTATATTTCAATATATATCAAATCAATTATTTTATGTAAAAGGTATAAGTTCTTAATCACTTCAAAATGTAGCTGATCTTATACATTAGTCACCTTCAAAAATTAGTTATCAGACAGCATCAATTAACAATGACAAAAACACAGGGAACGTATCTATACTACTAAAGGAAGAGACCGATTGCATTGAGCCGCAACTCCTCTGAAACCATACAAAGTCGGAAATATTTGTGACATGACGTATAAATGTAGTGTTTCGTACTTCCCTTCTAAATTTGTCTTTGAAACAATCGTTTTTCCACAGAAAACGCAAATTTTTGATAAAATATCCAAATTCGGAGACCGTTATTGATCCGTGTCCTATACGCTTTCGCGCATGCTAAGTCGACGTATCAAAGAATTTAACTTTATATATAACTAATATAGGACAGACAATAGTGTTGATTAAAATTTACACCATGCCAAAAATACTGAACTCCGAGGAAAATTCAAAACGGAAAGTCCCTAATCAAATGCAGTAGATTGTTATTTTACAAAAGATGATTAGTTTCTCGAAGCGATGTATTTTTTGTTGAGCATTCGTGATTTTATGAACAACGACATACATTAAATTACATGCACCTGACTTAGGATCGACATAGAATTATTAAAATTCAGCAAGCATGACATCATTTACTATTCATAATAAAGTAAAATTATCTTTTGCAAGTATTTTATTGTTGTTCTATTTTAATGAATATTGCTCATTAAATGATTTTTACATTGTAAAATGAACGTCTTTCATATATTGATGACAATGTCTTTTTCAATCAATCGTTGCTTATTTTTGTAAATTTAAGGCATCTGAAAATTTTCAATTACATCCACGATGTTTCACTTAGAGGAAGTAAAAATAAATGGAGAGTACAAGAATGTATCGAGACAGTTCAGTCGAGATGCGAAGGGAATGTTCAATATTAATAACGACATACCACAATTAAGTATGCATTGCTCAGTTGTTAAAAAATCGACAAAGTGTAAAGTGTAGATAGGCAGACGTTGAAAATACAACCATATCTTCTATGATTGTTTTGAATTACCTTATTACCATTTTTAAAGGTAAATACTCTATTTAGTAAGAATATTTATTTTATATTGTGACGTAATTTAGTACATGCGTACCAGGATATGTGATATTATGTGACAAGTAGCAGACCTGCAACAACAAACTAAAAAAAAAATAAAACGTTGTATTGGGCTTAACAAAATAAATCAGATGGAAGCACAAAAAAAGTACATATTCAAAGTACTGACAGTTTTTAATTAACGCTTCCTGACTTGAGCTCCAAATAAAATGTTTACTTTTCTTCTATGTATTCACCTTTAACATGGTTGACAAAACCCCAACTAATGGACTACAAAGTTTGACAATGTTTTATAATTCTATTTAATTGTTAAAGTAGATTGTTATTTTACAAACAAAATGATTAGTTTCTTTTAGTGATGTAATTTTTGTTGAACATTCGTGTTTTATGAACAACGACATTCATTAAATTATTGGCTGCTGACTTGGGGGGACAGACACAGAATTATTAAGGTTCACTGAGTATAACATCATTTACTATTTATTATAAAGTAAAATTATTTTTTGCAAGTCTTTACATTTCGTGTCATGTTGATGAATATTGCCCATTTAATAATCTTTATATATATTATTCTACAGTAAACATTGTAAAATGAACACCATTCATATATTGATGTCAATTTCGTTTTCCATCAATCGTTGCTTATTTTTGTAATTTTAAGTCATCTGAAGGTCAACATTTTCAATTACATCCACGACATTTTACTTAAAGGAAGTAAACAGATAAGGAAAGTACAAGAATGTATCGTTTTAGTTCAGTCGACACGCGAAAGGAATTTTCAAATTGTTAATGTTATACAACAATTAAGTACGCATAGCTCAGTTGTTAGCAAAATCGACAAGGTGTAAAGTGTAGACAGGTAGACATTGAAAATACAACCATATATTCTATGATTGTTTTGAATTAATTTATTACCATTTTTTAAAGGTAAATACTGTTTTTAGTATGAATATTTATTTTATATTGTGTCGTCATTTAGTACATGTGTACCAGGATATGTGTCATAATGTTACAGGTAGCAGACCTTTAACAAAACACTGTAAAAAAAATAAAACGTTGTATTGGGCTTAACAAAATAAATCAAATGGAAGCAAAAACAAAAGTTCCAATTCAAAGTACTGACAGTTCTTACTTTACGCTTCCTGACTTGAGCTCCGCTCACATAAAATGTTCACTTTCTTCTATGTTGACACTTCTAACATGGTTGACAAAACCTCAAATAATTCACCACAGTGTTGGACAATGCTTAATAATTGTTTCTAATTGTTAGAGTATATTGTTATTTTACAAAAGATTAGTTTCTCGAAGTGATATATTTTTTGTTGAGCGTTCATGATTTTATGAACAGCGACATTCATTAAATTACAGGCTGCTGACTTGGGACAGACATATAATTATTTAAATTCACTAGGCATGACATCATTTACTTTTCATTATAAAGTAAAATTATCTTTTGCAAGTATTTAAATGTCGTGTAATTTTAATGTGATTATTGCTCATTTAATATTTTTTTATATATATTATACTACAGTGAACATTGTAAAATGAACGCCGTTCATATATTGATGTCAATGTCTTTTTTATATTGTTCTATCAATCGTTTCTTATTTTTGTAATTCATTATATGTTCAACATGTTCAATTACATCCCATATATTTTACTTAAAGAAAGTAGGATTAGGAAAGTACAAAAAAGTATCGTAACAGTTATTTGACACGCGAAGGGAATTTTCAAATTGTTCACGTCATACAACAACTAAGTGCACATTATTCAATTGTTCAAAAATCGACGGAGTGTATAGTGTAGATAGGTACACGTTGAAAATCCATCACGAAGTTCTATTAAAATAAGCTAATTGCCATTTTTAAAAGGTAAAGACTCTGTTTAGTGTGAATATTTTTTATATTGTGTCATAATTTAGTACATGTGTACCAGGATATCTGACATGAATCAGGTAAAACTATTTTGTTCACTAATAATCATATGTCAAAAAGTGTTTTATAAATGAAATATCTTAGACATAAAATGAATATACAATAATGTAGATGTTGTAATTAGATACATGGGTATACTAAAACAACCTTTAACAGTATTTCGTATACATAAAGACATTTAAAAACGTGTCGTTTGTTTTGTGATAATATAACAATATTAAAAACAAAAATAAATCGTTTTATTTGTTTATGGTTGAAACCTATAAATTCTGTTTTATTGGGATAATAGTACCCTTTACAGAATGTTCACCAATTTATAACATCAACCTACATGTATACACACATTACTCTTATAGACTTGCAACACACATTAAAATACAATATATATATATATATATATACAAGTCTAAATTGAAAACAACGTTCAAATCTATGATTGCGTTGGATAAAAACCGCAATTTTTATACGTTTGCATGCAAAACAAATTTCTTGTTAGAGGGGTCTAAATACAGCACAAACAACACTTTCCAAAAGACCAAAAAAAAGTGAAAAAGTATATTTTAACAAAACGCATGTGACTAACAGGTCGAACAACAAATGTTCTTAAACCCTGCTGACTGCCATTGGCGATTGCCAAATATATATATATATATAAACAAGTCTAAATTGAAAACAACGTTCAAACCTATGATTGCGTTGGATAAAAACCGCAATGTTTATGCGTGTGCATGCAAAACAAATTTCTTGTTAGAGGGGTCTAAATACAGCACAAACAACATTTTCCAAAAGACCAAAGAAGTGAAAAAGTATATTTTAACAAAATGATTTGACTAACAGGTCGAACAACAAATGTTCTTAAACTCTGCTGACTGCCATTGGCGATTGCCAAATAAACGGATCAAAAGGTGTAATAAATGGATCTTAATTATAAATTAAATATCAAAGTGAAAACAATAAACTTGCGGCAAAGATGGTATACCGCAAACTAAGGTGCAAAGATTTTTGTACACCATATCCGGATTTCGACAATTAATGTCTCTTCAGTGATGTTAGGAATCGAAACGGTATTTGGAAGGCCATATAATTTACCTCAATTTAGGATAGACTCTTGAATTTTGAGGAGTCAAAATAGGATGAACGGATCATATAAACCCGAAGGCAAATATAATACAAGCCCAAATGAAAAAATATAAACAAGTCTAAATTAAAAACAACGTTCAAACCTATGATTGCGTTGGATAAAAACCGCAATTTGTATACGTGTGCATGCAAAACAAATTTCTTGTTAGAGGGGTCTAAATACAGCACAAACAACAGTTTCCAAAACACCAAAAAAGTGAAAAAGTATATTTTAACAAAACGCATTTGACTAGCAGGTCGAACAACTGATATATATATATATCATATACCTAGAGAAAATAATGGTATAATTGTACACCTTGATAAAATCAATTTGTTCTTATATTTATTCATTAAATCTAAGAATTGTCATAGCTTTGTGATATGACTTTCGTTATCGACTGCTTCAGTTTAAATCAACTGTTTCTAGTTTATATCAACCGAAGCCGGTTATTATCGCGTGACTATCGGTACATTATCACGAGGCATATCGACGTCAACCAACAAATTCCAGAAAATACACCCCATTGGTACAATTTAAACTTAACTTAGAAGAATTAAAAACAAATAATATGAAACAGGAAAATATATTATCAAAATGCAAAACAAATAAATGGATTTTTCAAAGTTTTAAAAACAGTTCTTCAGCATGTCTTCTGCTGAATTATATGATAACAAAAAAATAACATGTAATTATTTATATCAGACCCCTTATCTGCTCATGGTCAAAGTCTTCCTGCGAACTTGTCGGCTCTCGGGTTGATATCGTTAACTAGGGTTGATAAGGGGTCTAATATGAAAATGCCATGATATAATCTTTATACAATTTAGTGTTTTCTTTGCAGACCTTTCTATATGTAGTATCTTTTTTATATTAAGAATTTTGTTTGTGTGCCCTTATTTGTTAGTAAGACAGTACACACAATATGTAATGCAGTTGATGTACGATGCAAATATACAAATAAACATTATTTGTATAAAATTAAAATTGAAATATAATGAACAAAACAACCGACTTAGAGATTGTAGTCTACAAAATGTGTGTATATGCTTTTTTAATTGTTTTCTAGAAAACTGTCATAAAGATCAACCATGAGTAACCTGACACACAGCATTACATATGTAGTATTGATTCCTGTACTGACGTTTGCATTTTTACTCTTTATCACAATTAAACTTTTGGTATACAGAAGTAGATTCTGCTGCAAGTGTAAAGGTTTGTTTCTCGTTGTTATTTTACAAAGCATTTAAAGGTATTTTCACCGAAGTTTACTTATTAGTGGATTTGTTTTTTTTTTTATGTGTAGTGTATTTAGACTGCTTTTTGACTTACACATTAAAAAAAAAAAACATCGTTGTCAGGGTTATGTTTGTTTTTCCTGACTATTTCTGCTTTTCATTTCGTCTTTTTATCAACTACTTTCGCTGAATCACCGAAGCATTTAAGTTCGAATTTCATGTCTCGATAAAAAAGGTAAAAAATGCAACAGGGACAGTAAAAACATACATCGAAAATAACCTGACAACGCAAGTGTACAAAAAAAAAAGACAAACAACAGTACCAAATCTAATAAAAAAACTAACGACTGAGCAACACAAACCCCACCATAAACCAGGAGTGATCTCATGAGAAGTGCTATTGATGGCTAGGCAGACCCTGTCCAACATGTACCACCCGTCGTGATGCTTATGTAAGCACAAAACGGATGACGAGTATAATTTGATTATTCACATTCGGGAAACTGTGGTTACCACAATTTGGACATATCTGCTGTTTTCTATGAAACATAATTTCCATAACAGTCAATTTGCTCGTTACGGCGATAGTAAGATTTGTAGATGCATGATGTCAATTTTTCAATTTGGAACACTTGATTGTATCGCTTCTCGTAAACAGTTACCCTTTATCAAGAAATGTATGATAGGTTATACAAAATGATATAAAGGGTCGAAAGAAAGCTATATATCCAATATGCAGGCTGTACTGCAATGTTGCTTCATAGAAATGGAAAATTCACAATGTCGAAAATTTTTAATTGAAACCGACCCTTATTTCATTTTTGTATATGTTAGTCGAAAATAAAGGCCGACTTAACTGTAGCCTTATTTTATTATTAATATTGTGTCATTATAAGATGCAGAACTCAGGAATACACAAAGAACACAGATTTCAAAAGTTTTCTCGGGTAAGATCCTTTGAACTGACATCTTTATTTGCAAATACAATTTGCCCGGATCCATAAGAAAATAGCCGGAAAGTGTATATAATAAAATCATTCAAGACAATGAAACAGAACAAAAAAACAAGAAAAACTTAGTTCCAAGAAAATGCATATTTTAATTTGTTTTCATTGTTGAAAAACACACAGAGTGGTGTCAGGATTGATCTTATGAAATATTGACATAAGAGCACCTCTGATACCCCAATATCTGTATTTAAAGAAATGCAACCTGCATCAATTATTCAAAACATGTACTTTCCATGAACAATACGGAGAATGATATGCATTGTATAATAAGAGTTAATCCGTCAAATGAGTTAACGTTCATTCCCCATGTGTCATCATCGAATGGGGGTTTTCAACGAAACTTACTTATAAGTGGATTTGTTTTTTATGTGTAGCGTTTTAAGACTGCTTTTTGATTTACAATCTTTTTTTTATCGTTGTCATGGTAATGTATGTTTTTCCTGACTATTCCTGGTTTTGATTATGTCCTTTTAATCTACCCCTTTAACTGAATTACCGAAGTATTAAAGTTCATATGGTCAGATCTTTATACTTTCGAAAAGAGAGGTGAGAGATACAACAGGGACATTCAAACACATAAGTCGAAAGTATACTGACAACGCAAGAACACACAAGAAAACATAAACAAACAATAGTACTTAAACTCAACTGAAAAAAACCTAACGAATGAGCAGCACAAACCCCACCGAAAACATGGAGTGATCTCATAAAAAGTGCTAAGGATGGCTAAGCAGACCTTTAACATCATGTGCCACCCGTCGTGTTGTTTATCATGTTTATGTAATCACAACACCGGTCACTAGTATATTTTTTTTAAATGGGAAACTAGGGTTACCACAATTAGGACATATCTGCTGTTATCTGTGAAACATAATTTCCATAACAGTCAATTAACTCGTGATAGCGTAAGTAAGATTTGTAGATGCATAAAGTCAATTTCACTACTTGGACCTCTTGATTTTATAGCTTCTTGTTAGCAGCAATCCCCTACCAGGAAATTCATGAAAGGTAACACAAGCCCTGGTATAAAGGGTCAAATATGAGAGCTATATATCCCGTATGCAGGCTGTACTCCAATGTTGCTGCATAGAAATTGAAAATTCACAATGCGAAAGATTAAATCATCTCTTCTGTCATAAGATTTTATTTTAAACCGACCCTCATTGTCTATTTTAGTTGTGAGTCGGCATAAAAGGCCGATTTCACTGGTGGCGTATATTATTTATTATTTAATGTCATTATTAATATTTTGTCATTATTAAATGCAGAATACAGGAACACGCAAAGTAGACAGATTTCAACAGCTTTCGCGGGTAAGATGCTTTGCACTGATATCTATATTTGTAAATACAATTCGCCCGAAACTATAAGAAAATGTCCGGAAAGTGTATATTAATCAATCAATCAAGACAACAAAGCAGAACAAATAAATACACTAAGTTCATAGAAAATGCATATGTTAATTTGTTTTATTTTCGAATAACATACCGAGCGGTGTCATGATTGATATTGACATCAGAGCACTCCTGATACCTAAATGTCTTTTAGAGAAATGCAACTTGAATCAATTATTCAAAAACATGAACTTACCATGAACAATACATCGAATTCCACAGTACAATAAGAGTTAATCCCGTCAAAATAGTTCCTTCCATATTGTGTTATCATCTAATGGGGGTTTTCAACGAACTTAACTTATTAGTAGATTTGTTTTTCATATGTAGCGTTTTAAGACTGCTTTTTGAATTACAATCTTTCGTTCATTGTTGTCAGGGTAATTCATGTTTTTCATTACTATTCCGGGTTTTGAAGTATTATAGATCATATGTTCAAATCTTCATGTTGCTAAAAAGAGGTGAAAGATACAACAGGGACATTCAAATACATAAGTCGAAAAAAAACTGACAACGTTAGGACGCAAAACTAAACATAGACAAACAACAGTACTAGATCTCAACAACAAAAAACCTAACGACTGAGCAGGACAAACCTCATAGAAACATGAAGTGATCTCATAAGAAATGCTATGGGTGACTTATCAAATCCTGTTCAACATGTGCTACCCGTCGTGCTGTTTATGTAAGCACAACACCGGTGACAAGTATAATTTAGTTTCTCACATTCGGGAAACTTTGACTACCACATTTGGAACATAAATGCTGTTATTTATGAAATATAATTTCCCTGACAGTCAATTACCTGGTGATGGCGTTAGTAACATTTGTAGATGCATGATGTCAATTCTTCTACTTCAAATTCAAACTCTTGATTGTATATCTTCATGTGAGCAGCAACCCTCTATTAAGAAATTCATAATAGGTTATATAAGCATTTAGTATATGGTCAAATGGGAGCTATATATCCCGTATGCAGACTGTACTGCAATGTAGCTGCATATAAATGGAAAATTCATAATTTGGAAGATGAAATATTTTATTTAAACAGACGCTCATTGTCTATTTTTAGTTATTAGTCGTGATATACGACAGATAGTCTAACTATAGCTGTATATTACTTATTATTCAATATTATAATTATTATTGTGTCATTATAAGTTACAGAACACAGGAACACGCAAAGAACAGATATTTCAACGGTTTTGTCGGGTAAGATACTTTGCACTGATATCTATATGTATGTATACAATTTGCCCAGGAACTATAAGAATATGGCTGGAAAGTGTATATCGTACAATCAGTCAATACAATGAAGCAGAACAAATAGATACAATAAGTTCATAAAAAATGAATATATTCGAAAGGTTGCTATTATTGTCGAATAACACACCAATCGGTGTCAGGACTAATCTTATGAAATATTGACATAAGAGCCTTCCTGATACCCAATTTTCTGTATTTAAAGAAATGCAACTTGAATAAATTATTCAAAAACATGTGCTTTTAAAGGACGATACAGCGAATGCCATTGTAAACTAAGAGTTAATTCGTCAAATGATTTCGTTCCCTATTGCGTCATCATCGAATTGGGGATTTTACCGAACTTATAAGTACATTTTTTTATGTGTAGTGATTTTTGACTTACAATCTTCTTTTTTTATCGTTGTCAGGGTTATGTATATTTTTCCTGACTATTCCTTGTTTTGATAACGTCCATTTTATCTACCCCTTTTACTGAATTACCGAAGTATCAAAGTTCAAATGTTCAAATATTCATGTTTCGAAAAAAGTGGTAAAAAATACAATAGGGACATTCAAAAACATAAGTAGAAAATATACTGACAACGCGAGAACAGACTGAGCAATACAAACCCCACCGAAAACATGAATTGATTTCATAAGTAATGCTACGGATTGTTAAGCACACCCTGTCAAACATGTGCCTTTGTCGTGTTGTTTATGTTAGCACAACACCGGTGGCAAGTATAATTTGTTTATTCACATTTGGGAAATTGTGGTTACCACAATTGGGACATATCTGCTGTTACATGTGTTATCTGTGAAACATAATTTCCATAACAGTCAATTAACTCGTAATGTCGTTAGTAAGATTTGTAGGTACATGGTGTTAATTTCACTACTTGGAACTCTCTATCAAGAAATTCATGATAGGTAATACTATACCTGATATATTGGGTCAAATGGGAGCTATATATCTTGTATGCAGATTGTACTGCAATGTTGCTGCATAGAAATGGAAAATTCACAATTGGGAAGATGAAATCATTGTTTTGAGATGTTAGTCGGAATATAAGGCCGATTTAACTGTAGCCATATATTATTTATTATTTAATATCAATATTAATATTGTGTCATTTTTTAGATGCAGAACACAGGGTTACTCAAAGTAGACAGATTTTAACAACTTTCTCGGGTAAGATCCTTTGCACTGATATTCATATTTGTAAATACAATTTGCCCGGAACTATAAGAAAATAGCCGGAAAGTGTATAGGTTCCGGACCTTATGAGTATTTGGACCATACGTGTATGGTCCGACCGTACGTGTATGGTCCGACCGTACGCGTATGGTCGGACCATATGAGTATATACTCGTTTGGTCATTAACGGGCCGGATCATATTAGTATTTGGACCAAATAGGTATTATGCATTAGAAACGTTTCAATAATACAATAAACTTTATCTTACATGTCTTAAAGAAAACATCCATTGATGAAAAGCGTGCAGTGATACCGTGGTCTTGGCATATTCCAAGACATTTCATTAAGAAATTTTGAAAACATCTTTCCAAGTCGACATATTGCCATTCACTCGGAACAAATCGGTAATGACCATAGGTATAAAATGTTTTTACTATAGTTGTGACTAGTGAGTAAAATTAAATGCGGGAAACCGCTTATTTATAATTGGTTATTCTTTTTATCATTATGATATAATAAAATGACCTTTGATATCGTTTTTGTAATGCCGTGACAACTAAAAGGGTCATACCTAATGAAGAGTTTAATTAAAGGTTAATTGTAAACTTGTTAATTATCCCGACCATACGCGTACGGTTGGACCATACGCGTACGGTCGGACCACACGCGTACGGTCGGACCATACGCGTATGGTCGGACCGTATGAGTATATACCAATACAGGCATGACCATACGCGTATGGTCCAAATACTCATATAGTATGGACAATATGTAGTACAATCAAGACACTGAAGCAGAACAGAAAATAGAAAATACATATTTTAAGTTTTTATTGTCGAATAACACACTGAACGGTGTCAGATATGAACGCACTCCTGATACCCCATTGTGTGTTATACAACAAGGAAAACGTAAACAATATAGTAATTTTAAATCGACAAAATAATTTTTTTTTCTACAAATGAAATTGTATGCCATTTACATTGTAGCAGGCAATTTCTCAATTTGTAACATGCACTTCTTCCATCCGTTACATGAATTTCTACATTTCTTGATGTGTGAAATGTAACTTCTTAATTTGTAAATACAATTTCTTAATTTGTTTACGTATTTTCTTCATTCGTTACATGAATTTCTATACTTCTTAATTTGTGAAATGTACGATGGAAAAATTACATGTTACAAATTAAGAAATTACATTTTACTTATTAAGAAATTGCATGTTACAAATTATGAAATTGCATTTCACAAATTAAGAATTGTATAATTATGGCGGATATTCCCTTCCATAATTTACGGATTAAATTGCAGTTTTTTAAACTTTGTGTTTAAACAATGACAAACAGCTAAATTAGAAGGTAAAATAAAACTCAATATTCTGAACATAAATGCCAATAATATTTAGTAAAATTTTCACTCTTTCATTTATCAATACTATTTTGATTCAAACATTTGAGAATCAAAACATCAAGCCCACTCCAACCCCGCTATTAAGTCATGAGGTTGTCCTGCTTAGAACAATACGAATATTTGGTAATTTTATAAAGTAAAATGGATATGAAAAGAGGTCATAGTAAAATTTCCAATACAATGTGAATCAATAAGATTTGATACTTTTATTTTTTTAACAATCCTCCACACGAATGTTATGAACTTTCACGTTATTTGTGTCAAGTTAAACTGTGCGTTTCTGCTACAAGTATTTCTATCTAATAAATAGATAAAAGAAATGTTTTTGCCGTCGGCTTTTAAAGAATGTTATGGATGGAAAATTGTACAGAAATTTGCAACTACACACACGATTACAATCAAGCAAATTGAATATAAAAAAGAGAACTTCAATTCAACCGTGTTAAATAATAATCTTCCAGAGGGCACGCTGTTAACATTTTGTTTAAATTCAGGTAGATAACAAAATGAACAAGAATTAATCCTTGGTGAATTTTTTAAATAACATCGATATTTAAGTTAAATATTCATATTTGATTTGTTTCCGAAATTAGTAATCCACAAAACGTTTTTCATATGTAATATTGTTCCTTATAGATGTAAAACGTTTGAATAGAGGTACTCCAGTAACTGTCCCAGGTAAGAGTTATTGTACTTATATGTCTAATTTAAAGCCGTACGGTAGATGATAATTGCATATAACCACTTTGCGGAGAGTTATCTCATTGGCAATCATACCTCATCTACATATTTGTATGCTGAATTTAATATATATGGAAAATATTGGGTAAGTACAATCAAGACAATAAAACAACCCCAATACAAACAAGTAATAAAAGGGTACGACAATGAATCAAATACACTGCCAGGCCAATTTCATTTATCAAATGTCAAATATATATAGGTATATATTATGACTAGTTTGTTGTATGTCTTTAATATAAAAAAAGAGTAATACCAAGAATAACGAACTCAAAGGTAAAATTTCTAAAGAGAGAAATCCTTACAAACTTACAAAACAAACTCACGGAACGAATTAAAAATACCCGACATGTTTCCTAATTACGTTCATACATATTTAGATCAAGGTTGTGGGAAAATATGATTTCATAGCTAGCTACACCTCCCACATAAATGACAGATTTTATAGCTCCGTTAAATTGACAAAATTATGTGAACCATCCAAACAGAAATAAAAAAACAGTTATTTATTGAAAAATACATAAATATATTCTAATGATATCACCTACATTTTTTTTTTATGATTGGCATCCCAGCGTGTTGTTGTTGTAGGCGACTATAGATGTCAACTATAAGCATGTTCTTTATTTGCCTAAAAAAGAGTTGTTCTCTTTTGAATTACTTGACATTTTATCGCCTGCTTATTTATAGTATGCGATCACTATAAGGACAAGTAATGGGCAACATAGAATTTTATTTTGTTTGACCAATGTATTGAACAACACCACTCACATTTTCAAAATGTATCACTACTAAAAGAAACTAAATGAACTTATTCAGAACGTAACAAAATATGAAAATACAAAATGCAATACAATGATATTAAACATCACTTATTAAATTAAATTAATTTCATATTAAAGATAACATAATAATTCTCTATCACTTCACATATTTACAATTAGTACTTAAAATATGTTCATCCATAAAATACACAACATTTATTGTGTGTCAAGTATATATAATCTTTTATGCATTTCACAAAACTGTAAAGAGCTATAATGATAATTGTTGTTGTCATATAATACAAGTTAAACCATGAAAACTATAATCACAATGCATCCTTTGATAGAGGGCTAATATATATTTTAAGTATATTATGTTTCTGTATCTACCTTTAAACAATTCTAAAATACTTTGCATTCTGTAATAAGGTATTATCTACTTAACGTTGCTCAAAACATGTTATATGAATTTAACTCTATGTTTGTTACAGATAATTATGGCGCTATAAGACTAGGCAATGTACTCACTATAACGTTGTTTATAAAGACACGTTCCATGCAGTAATGTCTATGTTTATTACAGATAATTATGGCGCTATAATACTTGGCAGTGTACAGGATATAAAGTTGTTAATACAGTCACTTTATATGCAGTAACGTCTTTGTTTATTACAGATAAATATGGCGCAATAATACCTGACATAGTACACACTATAAAATTGTTTATACATACATGTTATAAGTAACAATGTCTATGTTTATTACAGCTGATTTTAAACATTTAGGCGTTCCAATAAAAAAAGCTGCTAATTTGAAAGATGCTGTTGATGACAAGCCAGTAGCGTGGACACCACCACCACCGCCTCCACCACCGGATCCACCAAATCCTCATTCATAATATTGTGAATAACTGATAAGAGACTTATTTGCAAAATACCTACCATAACGGTATCTTTTTTACCAATCGAGAAATGTTGTTATTCCATATTGATAGAACTTTAGTAGGTCTTTCTATATGAATGGGATTTTGAATAAATAAGCATATTCACCTGCTGAAAAAGTATATTCACCGCGCAAAACGTCGCGTGCTTTTACGTGTATAATAACGATACAATGTTTGACGTTTAGTTGGTTTTGGTAAATAACTGTTATTTTATACATATTTTTCTCGCTCGGAACATGGAATAAAACAATTACTGTCTTTTGTTTCGGTAAATATGTGGTTTAATTGACTTTTGAAAAACCTAGTGACATTCACTTCGGCCGTTGGCCTCAGTGAATATCAGTTTTTTCAAAAGTCAATAAAATCACACATTTACCTCATCAAGAGACAGTAATTGTATAATATCTTATGTTCATAATATTATGGGTTACCTGTTTGATTTTTATTTTAAACATTTCAATCTACTGCATGAAGTAAGATTGCCTAAGTGCCTATCAAAAAGGGAAGACACCGCGTTTTACTCATCCATTTGAACATGGTGAAATACTATCTTTACCTCAAATTTGAAGTATAATGAATAACATTGTGTCTATTTTAACAAATATAGTATACGGTAATGTTGCTCGTTCACCTTTGTGTAATATGCATTGTTTACATTTTTGAAAATTGCTCCCTTTACAAACCGACCAACAATTAAGTATTGTGCATTGGCATTCATTTTTTTTTTTATATTGATACTTATATATGTGAAACAGGCATAATTTTCAAATTACTTGAAATGCCAAATAATTAGCTAATTTACAAAACATTCATGATCTTCATATCTTACTGTATAGAATGCTTATGTTTTTGCACTGTACTGAAATGTGTAAGTACTGGAATTTTAGTTTGTATACATAATGTATATAAACTTACCATAGTTAATTTAAATATTGTATTTGTGCTAGATCCGCGATTTGTCTACAAAAGACTCATCAGTGACGCTCGGTAAAAAAAAATGTGAAAAAGGCCAAATAAAGTACGCAGTTGAAGAGCATAAGGACCACATACAGCTAAGGTAATCAGGTCATGAGGAAAAAAAGCCTTAGTTTTTCAAAAATATAATTTGTTAATTTATGATAATGACCATATCAATGATAATTCAGGTCTACACATGTGTGTGTTTATGTATGAAGAGAGTCTATAACATCACAAATTAGCTTTGACTGTTCCACTAATTTTTTGACAAAAAGACTCATACTTTATTTTGCTATATGTCATATGCAATACATTGTATAACATGATTTAAACGACCTTTGTTAATGTTTGAAAAAAAAAACTGTCTGTAGATAACAAAGTGAAGATAGTGTATGCTTTGTAGTTTTTTTTTACTGTATTTCGATTATTTAGACATCATGCGAACCGAATCCACACTGTCCTTGCGATGCTCATTACGACATTTCAGCACAATCATATATTTGATTTCAAGAGAATTTTTCAGTGACATTTGTAGAGAAAATGGAGTCTAGAAAGTATCTACAATTTGAATTATTTTAAAATTTGCTTTAGGCAAAAATGCTAGAATTTTCAAAACTTATGTGTGTATAACTCTTTTGCTTGCTTCATTAAACCAAAATCATAAATCATCTTCAATGTGACAATGGAGTTGAAAAGACTAACACACCAAGATAGAAAGTTCTTTTGAGATCACCTACAGTTTTTTGGTAGGGTTCGTGTTGCTTAGTCTTTAGTATTTTATGTTGTGTCGTGTGTACTGTTATTTGTCTGTTTGTCATTCTCTTTTTTAGCCATGGCGTTGCCAGTTTGTATTCGAACCATGAGTTTGATTGCCCCTCTGGTATCTTTCGCCCCTCTTTGATACAAATATATAAGTTTTGTCGTAGCGGTAAGATCTGATTGCCTGAGAGAACAACCGACCTTTGGTAGGAAAATGACAATCCTATATATAAAAAAAAGAAGATGTGGTATGAATGTCAATGAGACAACATTCCACAAGAGGCCAATGACACAGAATTTAACAAGTATAGGTCACCGTACGGCCTTCAACAATGAGCAAATCCTAGTCAATTAAGATTAAAATCGAGCGCAACTGCTACATCCGGGATTCAAACTCTCAACTGCCGTGCTAAAATCTAGCGATACAGTATCTGGACTTCTTAGATCACTTGACCTCTGAAGACCCTGTGGCAGAAGAATAGAATTGACGCCTACAAAACAGACATTTGAAATTAAAGGTTATTTAAAACGTCTGGTATTAAATAAGTCCTGTGTTTGAAAAACAATGAATATATCAATATATTAAAGCGTATTTGAACTGGGATCATTTTGATTATCAACTATTATTATTCATGGAGCACATAAGGGTCTGAAAGGTTAAAATTTGTATACTTAATTAGTGATGTAGAGCCCGTTTCGTTTTTACATTTCAGTACCATGTATAAAAAATTATGTTGTCAAAGGCACAGCATTACATCTTCCAGATACTGCAAAAAAATAAATCTAAAAGAACAGGCAAAATGCATTTGGAAATAAACGCAAAGAAAGAAGGAATAGAAGAAAAAAAAAGAACAATAAACACTTATACAATACAAGCAAAAACTCTTGTTCTGTTTTTTCGTGAAAACAATTTTTTTCTTTTCTATAATTTGCTTTTCCAAAATGAAGGTTTGCATACAATTGGTCAATTCTACACCCGAATTTCCTAATATATAAATTCAAGCCAAACGATGAGAGAAAAATAGAATTATGATCATGTGATGCATCTAATTTTCGTGTATACAGATGTCATTAAACATTGTGGGATGGTAATGTTAAGAATTCATAAAATTCAAAGAATGTATAGATAGTATTAAAAATAATATATTGTATTTTACGCATTATTGCCACGCGCACACAATTAACATTTAGCGTGAACATGTACGAGACATTGCATAAGAACAAATGTTATCATTATTTTGTATCCTTTTTTCAATGCTAATTAACTAACAGAAATTAGTAAATGAGATTCCATTTATAAAAAATAAACTTCTAATAACACTTGTTCGCGAAAATTGTTGTTATTGCCAATCACATTTACATGGTCAGATCCTAAATGAAAAAGGACATACATTGTGTCAAAGGCACGCTAATTAAAAAAAGATGAAGTGTATTAAAATGTGTCCAACATTGAAATTTGACTGCAGAATTCTAGTTTATATAAATGATCATAAACCACCTTTATGACAAGAGGTCAAATTGGAAAAACCCAACGTTATTACAGCAGTAAAATATATGCAATAAAGATAATACTGAACATATTTTAGTTGTCATGATAAAAGGAAAACAAGCCTTTATACAGGTAAGATTGTGTATCTATATATGTTTTTGCAACGCACATTAGCTTCATTCTTTTTTTACCAGGCCAGTTTCTTGTAATGATCAAAGAAATTATTGCTTCATTACCTTCAGAACAAAAGAAAACACTTCAGATAAAGAACTATAAAAAATGCAAACAATTCAACATGTTCAATTCTTACAGATTTCTTAACATAATTAGACAAGAATTAAAATATTTGATATAGATTTAATACACCAACTGTGCCTGTCAATTTATATATAAATGAATATTTCATAGAATTCTAGAGTAAATGTCACTTTCAAGACAATGGTAACACAAATCTTTCTGAAAGGTGTTTGTGTTTTTTTTTTTTTATAGAAGTAATAGAAACATACCCTTCCTAGACTTCAATTTCTTTTCTTAACATGAAAATTGTTATAATATCATTGCATCATTTATGTAAAAATCTGGGATATTTAAGTGACCCCAACAGATATTTGCCACACTCTTCCCCCTTCTAACGAACCAACTCATAATTCCAGAATCCCTTTTTTTAAATTATATTAAAGCTCATCTTATTGGTGATTATGTTTTTTCACTATTGGTTTGTGGAAGAATATTTGAAATCTTCACTTAATCATCAATTATATTAATAATAAAATTGAGAATGGAAATGGGGAATGTGTCAAAGAGACAACAACCCGACCATAGAGGAGACAACAGCTGAAGGTCACCAATAGGTCTTCAACTCCCGCACCCGAATGCGTCCTTCAGCTGGCCCCTAAACAAATATGTATACTAGTTCAGTGATAATGGACGTCATACTAAACTCCAAATTATACACCGGAAACTAAAATTAAAAATGATACAAGACTAACAAAGGCCAGAGGCTCCTGACTTGGGACAGGCGCAAAAATGCAGCGGGGTTAAACACTTTTTTTTTGAGATCTCAACCCTCCCCCTATACCTCTAGCCAATGTAGAAAAACAAACGCACAACAGTACGCACAGTAAAACTCAGTATAGGAGAAGTCCGAGTCCGATATCAGAATAGGAAACAAAAGAAAATAAATACATAAATAACCACAGACTACTAGAAGTTACTGACCTGCCAGCTCCAGACCACAATTAAAACTGATTGAAAGATTATGTCTTCGTCAGATGAATATCAGGCACAATCCCTCCTGTAAGGCGTTTAGTATTATACCGTCATAAAATATATGAGAAGAACATAACCCGTGTCATGCCAACAACTGGTTTTAGAATAAATGTGTTTAATTCCGATGTAAAGACGCTATAAGTGAATCAATATTAAAGCCAAAATATGCAATCTTTAATGACCTGACAACAGTATCGTAACTATATCCCTTCTTAATAAGTCTGTTTAAAGGTTTTGTTAGTTTTTGAGGTGAATACTGACATTTTTGTGCTTTGTAAAGAATATTACAATAAAAGATTGGATGTGAAATACCAGAACGTATAAGATGTCTGCATGTTGAATAAGTATATATCGGGATTATTATTACAAAAAATTATATTTGTTAATCTGAGCATGAAACCAAAACTTCTTATCACGGATTAAAAATGTAGATACAACTACGTGAAATTGTATATACCGCAATGCATGAAATAATGTGTTGTTTTATTTAATAACATTGGTTGTCGTCTTATCATCAACATGTAGAAATCCTTCCTACCTTGTAACTCATTTTGTGGATATGTCAAAAATAGAGGTGAACACACTCTAACCCATCTTCTTTGTGTTTCTCATTTGTTTGCAAATTTAACTCGTCTAATGACAAAATTCGACACGCAGCTGGCGTAGAAATTATCAATCCTGGTATCTATGATGAGTGTATTTACAACAACTGGGTCGATGCCACTGCTGGTTAAGCTCTTCTCTTCAAGGGTATAACCAGTCAAATAGTCTTTATCATAGATGTGGTCATAATTAATAATTAATAGTATACAAAACTTTAAATTTTTCGAAATACTTCAGGAAAATATTACCTAATAAGAAAGCTGTTTTTGGCAACATTTTTATGCATTTTTGGTCCGCAATGCTGTTCAATTTTTAACTTGGTTTATCATGGTTATTCTTTTAAACGTTTTTGATTCGATCGTCACTGAGCAGTCTGTATAGATGAAGCGCGCGTTTGGCGTTCAAAATTCCAATCCTGGTATCTATGATGAATTTTAACCTTTCATTATTTAAAAAGAACTATATTTACAGCTAAACTAAGGACTGTCCCTTATTATACATGATGTTCAACGCTTTTGACTACATACATGTGTCGAGACTATAACATATGTTTATTGTCATAAGTATTCAAGTGTCTTCAAAAAGAATCATTCAGTGCAATAAAAGAAATAAGGTGTATTTATTTATACTAGACACAGTTAGTTGATATTTAGCGATTGTCGTAGAGTAATGTGATGTTTGAACTATAAGGAATTCAAATTCATAAAATAGTTATATTCCTAAAAAAAAAAGAACAGAAACGATATGAGACATTTATTCTATAGGTCTTCGTCAGTCGTAAAAGATGTTAGCGTGGAATATTTGATATACAAGTTACTTCATAGCTTGAAGCCAGGTCAATCTGATATATGAATCGTAAGTAAATCCATAATTTACATAATTATAACTGTTTTTAGATAACTCCGTCATTTTTTTCTAGATTTTATTGAATAATTTTGATATGGCGTTTTGGAGTTTTCGTAAAGTATTTATAAAACTCTCATAAAAGATATGTATTTACTTTGCTGGCAAAAACATAAGTTTTTGAGAAGTTAAACGTTTTTGTTCGCAGTAAACGAAAAAGTTTAAACTATATAACTGATAAAAAAAACTAGAAAATTTTACGCTTGATAGGTTTTTTATATATATAATCCTGGTGAAAAAAATGTTTTGGTTGAAATTTATATATGAGATGTCATATAACTACTTATACATGTTTACACTTCGCTAGTAATGTGTGGTAGATGCATAATAAATCTTCAATTGAGACAACTGATCTACTAGCTTCATTGCA